TGCACAGTTAGAATCAGCAACTATTGAAAAAGAAAACAGCTGCAAAGCACTTTTCTGGCACGATGGAAGTTAATGAAATTATTTATTTTATGGTCTTTTTGCCAAGAAAGAAGGTCAAAAAAACGTCTGTAGATTGTCTTAATACCACCCCATAGTGTGTGGTTGGGCAGCAGTATAAAATCTGCAGAGAGATCCTAAAATTGATCCTGTCATTCCCCACCTAATGCTTTTATCCCAGATTTAATCCCAGTAAATGAAACTGCTTTGGGTTAAATGCTTGGAAAATTGGAAAAGTGTTTGAGTAGCTGCTTTCAACTCATTTGGCATCAATAATTCTAGCAGGTGATGATTTACTGTGTGGGTAAATAACGGGCTGTCAGTAGTGTGGGCATCCCTCGGACTAAATAGGAGAATAAAAATATCATAAACTGATCAAATCCCTGCTGGAGTGAAATTGGGTCAATATGTTGGATTTGCTCTCACCTGGGCTGACAATGAGAGCGCTTCAGGCACATGGGAAATGCAGTGGGTCAATAATTTTGTGGTTTAATTAGGCTTAATGATTTTCCTTATTAAATAACCCCTGAGCCCCTGAAGTCCCTCGTGACACGTGAAAGGGATGGTTTGCAGCGTGTGCTGGTGAAACGGCCAACCAGAGGTGAAAAGGTCCCCCCAAACTCCTGCTGTGCTGCTGCTGCTGGCACCTGGGGCTCAGGAGCCCTCCCTGCTGCTCCTGGGCTCAGGAGCCCTCCCTGCTGCTCTTGGGCTCAGGAGCCCTCCCTGCTGCTCTTGGGATCACCAGCCCTTCCTGCTGCTCTTGGGATCACAATTCACAATCCATCCCTGCTGCTCTTGGGATCAGGAACCATCCCTGCTGCTCTTGGGATCACAATCCATCCCTGCTGCTCTTGGGATCACAATCCATCCCTGCTGCTCTTGGGATCACAATCCATCCCTGCTGCTCTTGGGATCACAATCCATGCTGCTGGGAGCTTCCCTGGCTGCTGCCAGCCCAGCGCTGCATCCCCTGAGTTCATCTCTGTTCCACAGGCTGTGCTTCTCCTGGGTGCCCCTGTCTGTCTCCTGCAGCCCATCCTGTCCCTGGCTGTGCTCCTGATTCCCAGTGACAAACCTCTGTCCCCAGGTGTGCTCCTGGCTCCCAGTGACAATCCCCTGTCCCCAGGTGTGCTCCTGGCTCCCAGTGACAATCCCCTGTCCCCAGGTGTGCTCCTGGCTCTCCTGGTGACAGATCCAGCTCCCTGTGTCCCCAGGTGTGCTCCTGGCTCTCCTGGTGACAGATCCAGCTCCCTGTGTCCCCAGGTGCCCGTGGCAGAGCTCCAGGCTGCTTTGGCCTCCTGGGCACGAGCAGTTGCCAGCATTCAGGGACTGAGCCCTGCACTCCCAGCCAGAAGGGCACTGCAGGGGGGCAGGGGCAGGTTCGTGGCAGAAATCGAACATTTGGGGTTTGGAGTGGGGCAAACACAGCCCTGGGTCACAGGGTTTCTTTCCTGGCTGGAAATGGAGAGGCTCCATTCCTGCTGGTGCTGTGCCTGTGCCTCACCTGGGCTGTCCCAGCTCCTCCACAGGCTTTGGGATCCTGTCCCTGTCCCTTTCCCCCACTCCCCGCTCCACACCTCCCCTTTTCCCCTCTGTCTCATCACAATGTAGTTCTTGTACATGTTTATCCTGTGCTGGAAAATGAATGAACCCTTTAGGTAGTATCATCTTTCTACGTGTAAAAATAATGGTTTAATCAAATCACAGTGATTTGAAGTAATAAGAGATTCATTGTAATTTGGAAAATCTCATAAAAGAACTATTTATATCTCTTAGAGGTATTTGCTGAAAAAGTAATTTGCTAAAGTATGAAATATGGAGAACATTGGGAGATCACTAAATCTTGTCACACCAGTGCAGTGCTCAGTCACGAACAGGGGTGAGAAGCGATTCTTCCTGCTTTTGCATTTAAGCATCATCCAGTGCTTTTTGTTGAGTTATCAAATTCCCAGAGCCTCTGAACCCAAAACTCTCAAGTTCAGCACTGTGTATGGGAGTTGTCCTCATGTCTTTGGGTCAGAAAGGTGAAGCAGAGGCTCAGGTCTGCTCTTGGTGCAGAGAACGTTTGCCTTGTTCACCCTGAGTGTTTATGAGCCAGGCTCATCCCAGAAAGGTCTCTAAAACCAGAGAAGCATTTGAGATTTCCACAGGCACAGAAGGACCTGCAGGACAGCCCTGTGGGAAGTGCACAGCCACTCCTGGCTGCTGAAATAACCCCTGGCAGTGTCCCAGGCCAGGCTGGACGGGGCTGGGGGCAGCCTGGGCTGGTGGGAGGGTCCCTGCCCAGGGCAGGGATGGGGATGGGTGGGATTCAGGGTCCTCCCAGCCCAAACCATTCCAGGACTCCTGTTCCCAGCTGGGAGGGAGGGCAGTTCCAGGCTGGGAGAGGCTCTCCAGGTGTGTGGCAGCAGCATTCCCAGGATGTGCACTGCAGCAGGGGTGGCTGCACAGGACCAGGGAATCACCAGGGATTTGCCCAGCTCTGAGCCCCATCCCCCTGTCACTCTCAGCTTGTCCCCATCCATAGAAAAGAATGGTAAAAAATGCTCCCTTTTTAATAGGGATCCATATTCCTGCCTGCAAATGCAGAGGGATCATTGAACCAATCAATGGGAATGTTATTATTTGTTATTAAATCTGTAAAGGTTTAGAGTAATTCATTTGGAATTCTATTACAGTTTTATCAGGACTCATTGATTTTGCATTATTAAGTTATAGAGCACTTTCCCCAGAGGTCAGTGAATCTGGCACGTGGGGAGGGTTTATTGGGGCTCTTTCCCAGCCATATGGATATTGTAGATCTTAGGACTGGATATCCCCTTTGAAATGCTCTTTTAATTAGGAGGAAAACCAATATACACTGGTTTGCAGGGCAAAGTTTTGGCTGTGTGTCCCTAAAACCTGACTGTTTTCTGAATGCTCTTCTGACCCACCCATGAGAATATTTTCCTTGGGAAATTTCATCCTCTAAATGGCAATCATGGAATCACAGAATGGTTTGGGCCAATTATTTACCCCATCTGTGGGAGGCCCAGCTGCAGTCTCTGCCTCAGGATAAACAGAGCAGGGAGAGATGGGGGTCCCTGCCCCCCCAGGATCTCCTTTCCTGCACTTTGATCCATTTTATTTTGGGAAGGTTTCATTTCAAGCTGCAGTCCCCACATGAGGGGCTGGAAAGTCGTGTGGAGCTCACAGAGCACACCCAAGCTCTCAGTAAAACTGCAATCCAGCACTGAGCCTTTATCCCAGCCGGCTTTGGTGGTTTTCTTGCATTTTTCCATGGGTTGCTTGCATGGGTCTCTGGCCTTGGCAGCCTCCTGCTGCCTCTGTTGTAACAGGGACCTACTTCTGACTTTAATAAACTGCACCATGTGCTGGTGAGGCTGCAGTTGAAGTTGTGATTAGCTTTCAGGCTGTTCCTGGAAGGCCTCAGTGCTGCTGTTCCTGGCTGGGCTTTGGAGGTGACGTGGGTCGTGCCCTCTGAGCTCAGGGCAGACTCAGCCCTGGGAAAACACAGGTTACAGCTGGGTCACTGGAGCACAGAGCAGAGAGGATTGACCCCATTCCCAGTTTCCAGTTTCAAAACAGCTGGGTTTGTGCTGGCTCTATTTTTATCCCTGTGGAAGGATTGTTGTGCTGATTTAACCCCGTGGCAGATGGTTTTCCTCAGACTCTGCTGCATCCTGTGCTGTGCCAGCATGTGTTGCCTTACCCACCTCTTGCAGGAGGGGAATCCTTGGCTGCAGGGCCAGGAACGTTCTCCCTTTCCACGGAGTGTGGACCTGCAGCCCTTTCTGAGTGCAGGGATGCTGCTGCAGCAGGGGTGGTTTGGGCAGTGGGAGCTCCATCCCTGACCCTCCTGTGCAGTGCCAGAGCAGCTGGAGCACCAGGAGTGGGAACACATCCTCTGAGGCTCCCGTCCCCAGTGGGCTGGCAGATCATTCACCTCCGAGCTCCTCCGGCTGCAGCCAGCATTCACCAGGCCCAGGTTTCAGATTTGGCTGGTTTGAATTCCTCCACGAGTTTCTCAGTAAAAGAGAAAACTGTTTTTGTGCCTGGGCTTGATGTGGGGAGCTGTGGGAGGTTCCCTGAGGAGCAGAGCTCTGCTGCAGCCACAGCCAGGTGAGATCCCTGCACAGAACTCACCCTCTCCCCCCGGGGAGAGCAGCCCCACGCTCCAGAGGGACAGACAGCTTTGGGAAGGTGCAGCTGGGCTGGGAAAGCCTTGGGATCAGCAGGGCTTGGGGTGCCAGGAGCCTGTGACAGGGCTGGAGCAGCATGGCCTGTGGTGGCACCCCGGAGCACAGGTGACAAACAGGTGACAAAGCTGCCCTTGGTCTGTGCCACTGCAGGTTCCTCCTGAGCAGCTGAGTGGCTGCAGCTGCTGCCAGGGAAGAAGGGAAGAAGGCAGGGAAATGAGAGAGGCTGGGTGTGAGCACACAGACACACTAACTCATTTGTGCAGACCTCCTTTGGCAGGAGAGCCCCGCCTGCGGTGGGGAGCAGTGGGGTGTGGGTGCTGTGGAGGGGTGCTGCTGTTCCAGTGAGGATTGGGATGCACAGAGGTGCTGCTGACAGCCTGCTGAGGTGGAGATGCCTCCTCTGGGAGTCTGGGCAGGCCAATAACAAAATCAGTGTCGTGAGCTCAGCCCGGTATCAGCTGCACCACATCATTTATTTCCACTCCTTATCAGTACATCTCTAATCCATGCTTTTTCCTTATAACTTTTTTGATCTTGATCTGTTTTACATTCGTCTTGCCCAGTTTTACACCTGGTAGTTAGAGTCATTTTCCTGCAGGATTTCCTCTCTCCCCAGGGTGAGCTGCCGTGGGCAGAGCCGTGTGCTGGGTCCCGAGGGAGGCACTGGGCAGTGTGAGTGCCCAGGCTGCAGCTCCCCAGTGCAGAACAGCCAGGGCTCAGCTGTGCCCTCTCCCCCTGCAGGCTTTGACACCTATTTCACCTCTCGAACCCTGGAGAACAACAGGAGGAACGTGTGGTTTGCAGAGTACTGGGAGGAGAACTTCAACTGCAAGCTGACCATCACTGGCTCCAAGAAGGAGGACACGGACCGAAAATGCACAGGTAACTCACCCTTCCCCTGTGCTGTGCCAGTGTGGGAGCCAGGAATGGTTTTATTTCAGTCAAGGGCAGCTGCAGAGGGTTGGTTTGTTTCAGATGGAGGATGGAACGATTTAGGAAGGAATTCTTCCCCTGGGAGGGTGGGCAGGCCCTGGCACAGGTGCCCAGAGCAGCCCCTGGATCCCTGGCAGTGCCCAAGGCCAGGCTGGATGGAGTTTGGAGCTCCTGGGACAGTGGGAGGTGTCCCTGCCATGTCTGGGGGGCACTGGGTGATCTACAAGGTCCCTTCCAGCCCAAACCATTCTGGGATTCCTGCTGAGAGCACCCTGGAGGGGTGTTGGGCAGAATGTGCCTCTGTGACACAGAAACCAGGGCTGAGCTGTCACCTGGTGCCTCTCCCCTTCCCCCCTGCCCCTTTAGATTTCCCAGCAGCAGTTGAAATGTGCAGTGCTGGATAATTGCCCTGAGCTGTGATCACAGATCAGTTCATGGCAGGATTTGTTTTACTCTGATGGAGAATTGAACACTCCCATCCAGAGGAGTGGGGGGAGTTTGGGTGCCAGGGATGGCTCAGCACTCCTGGGCACAGATCCTGGTCCAGAGGAGTGCAGGGACTTTGGGCTGGAGCATTATCCAGTGCCTTGTGTGCTGAGCAGGAGAAATTTAAAAGCTCATCTGCTCTCCCCAGGAAATTCCATGGGATTGATGGGTGGTGCTGGGATAAAGGCTTTTGTCTCTAAGGAGATGTGCTGGCTGAGGCTGGGCCAGGGGGATTCTGTCACTGCAGAGCTGCTGCTGGATCCTGGAGGGCTTTGCCAGGTGACAGTGCAGGGATTTCACTGCACAGGGGCCTCGCTGGCATCCTCTGCTGCTCCCAATGCAATATTTACCCTGGCCTGGTGGCTCAGCCCTGGATCTCAGCTGCTTTCACAGAAGGAGCTCGTGTGGAGAAGGTTCAGAGCCCTCGGGTGCTGCGTGTGCAGGTGTGTGGGTACCAGGGAGGATGTTCACCCCTGGTGCAGGGATGTGGCTCTGTGGGGCTGTCCCTGTCCCCAGGCAGGGCTGGCTGATGCTGCTGGGGGTGAATGGACACTGCAGATTTTTGTGCCCCAGCTGCCAAATTCCACCTTGTGTAAACAAGAGCTGCCTGTTTGATACCGTTCCACAATCTTTAAATTAAATCTCTTGTTAATGATGACTATCACCAGGTCCTCAGCAGCACTATTGTGCCAGACCCTTTGAAAATGTGTTTAATTCTTCAGGAGCCCAGGCGCTGTCTGAATTCATCTCGCACGAGCACCGATGGAGTGGGATTTTGATGTCTGTCTGTGTGAATTATATGCCATAAAAATTGTCCTAGAGACACTATTTATTCATCCTAACACATCCCCTCTGTTGTGGTGATAACAATGAGTGCAGAGGGATAGCTGAAGGAGAGGCACTGGGAACGGGGGACGCGTTAACGCCGCCTGCCTGGAGATGAAGGAGTGTGACCAGGAGTTCTCAAACCTGCTTTTCACTTCTGTCACCTGAAGGAGATGGAAAAAGCTGGATTCTTTCTCTCTGTTCTCAGCACTGTGGGTTTGGAGCCTTTTTCCCTGCCTTTGTTGCAGCGCTGTTCTCCTGTGAGGATGTGCCTGAAGCCGGCCCTGGCTGCTCCGTCTCTCAGAACCAGACTGATGAGCACTTGAGCCTCGAGGAGGAAGGGGGGGTTAAACTGTTTGTCAGCACCTTCAAATAGATCCTTGGGAAGCAAAAAAAAACCTGGTGTCAATAAACTGCTTTTGTGTTTCCTCCTGCTGCTGCCATGCCAAGGCACTCGTTGCCAAGCCGTGGGACAGAAGTGTGTTCTCCTGGAGTCACGTTGTGCTCGAGTGTCCCCGGTGTCAGCTGCTTCACTGCTGAAGCACATCACGCTGGTGTGTGGCTCCTCAAGATTCTCCACGTTAAAAAAGCAACTTCTCCTCAAGATGAGCAGGAATGGTGCGGATGGGGTTTGTTTTCACTTTAGGTTTTGGTCTGACAGCACAGAGGGGCTCGTGGTTTCTTGCTGCACCCAAGTTCTGGGTTGGCTCTCCAACCTTCCCTCGGGACCCCAGGATGTGCTGACAGGACAGCTCTGTGCTGGGGCTGCCCCTTCCCCACAGAACAGCTCCTGCTGCTTTCATCTGGAGCAACTTGCTGCCTTTTGGGAGCCTCCTTCCCTTGCAGAGTAATTAATAATTGAATTTCTCTACTCCCATTATGCAGGAGCTGTTTCCTGTGGTAAAACGTTCTGCCTGGCTCAGCCTCGGAGGGAGAAATATTCCCCACAATAATGCTGGAATTGGAATTAAAATGGTGCCCATCACCTCTGGTTTATTCCTGCCTGGAAATGGACTTTGGGCCTGATCTGCTGCTCACTGCAACAGCAGGAGGGTGACACAAACTGGAGGGAACACTGTTCAGCCAGCCCTACTGATCTGGATATTTGCTGGGTTTGTTGAAGCCTGAGGAATATTTGGCCTGTGTAAATCATAACAATTGCTCTGTGGGTTCTTCGCTGCTTCAGGTTTGGGTTAAACTTCTAATTGCAACAGAATCTCTTCAGGAGGGAGCTCAGCCTGTGTTTTGGTGAAGGACAGCACACTCCCAGCTGTAGAAATTCAATGTGTTTGGGGTGAGCAGTTACATCTGTCTCCACATCTGGATTTACTGTGCACAGTTCTTGATGTTTAATACCCAGCTAAGGGAAGCATCCTTGTTCCTGGAAATTCTACTACAGCTTAAGAACCTTTATTATTTTCATGTTAGGACACAGTTCCATTATTCTTGGGTTTTTTCAGGTGTGTTTTGCTTGGGTTCCTCTCACAGCTCTCTGCTGCTGAAGGTTTTCCTCCTGCTGTGTGTGCCCAGCCGTGCTTCTGGAACTTGCTGTGGCTTATCAGTGTTGTTTGAGTGCAGCATTTGAATCGCAGATCCCCTCCCCTGGCATCCATTCCTGCTGCACTGCTCATCTGGTTACAGAGCTGAAACCACTTAAAAGCATTTTCCTTGTCAGGGCTTGAAATTCTGATAAGTTCTGTAATCAATGAGAGGAGTGAATAATGAAAGAATCCTGCCTAGAACTTCACCAGTGGAAACTCACCTTTCCTGCTCAGTTGCTCGCAGGATTTCAGTGCTTTCAGAGGAGATGAGATGTAAAACTGAGGGGTTTTGGTGGGGAGGGATCCTGAAGCCCACCCAGTGCCACCCCAGCCATGGCAGGGACAGCTCCCACTGTCCCAGGTGCTCCAAACCCATCCAGTCCAGCCTGGGACACTGCCAGGGAGTTAATGAACAGTTCTGGGGAAAAGGAATAAATCAGATTCTTGATCCCCAGCCTGCAGTGCCTCGTTCCAGGCTCTGAAGATCCTGCTTGGTTTGCAGAGCCCCCCTGAGCCGTTCAGGTGACCAGAGCAGCACAAAGTCCTCCTGTGGCCACGGGCAGCAGGTCACACCTCTGTCCACAGCCCGAGGGCCAGAGAGCCTGCAGCTTCAAAGGTTTCGATTCACCTGTTCCATCGCTGCTCTGGAGCTGTGCCTGCCCTGGTTTCATTCCCCAGCTGGGATTTCCCACCTGCAGCAGCCGTGTCCCCCCGGGGCTCCGGGAGCGGCGGGGATGGTCCTCGGGGTTGCTCCTCGGGGATGTCCTCAGGGATGTCCTCGGGGATGTCCTCGGGGATGTCCTTGGGGATGTCCTTGGGATGTCCTCGGGGATGCTCCTCAGGGATGTCCTCAGGGATGCTCCTCGGGGATGTCCTCTGGGATGTCCTCGGGGATGTCCTCGGGGATGTCCTCAGGGATGCTCCTCGGGGATGTCCTCGGGGATGCTCCTCGGGGATGTCCTCGGGGATGCTCCTCGGGGATGTTCTCGGGGATGCTCCTCGGGGTTCCGGCGGCACTGAGGGCACTCCTGGGATTCTGCAGGAGCTCCGAGGCTCTGCAGGGAGCAGGGCTGGCGGTGACTGGGACAGTGACAGTGACAGTGACAGCGACAGGAGCTTCCCGAGGTGCCGTTAATTGCCCGTTAATTGCCGCCGTTCCTCAGTTCTCCGCAGCCCCTTCGGTGGTTTCTCTGAAGTGACTCTTTCTTCCCTTGATCTGCCTTTGACTTCCAATTAGAGCCTGGGATTTGCAGCAGAACAAAGCTCCAGGCTTTAAATCCCGGCTGTGCCTTGCTTTGAGTGTCCCCAGCTTCAAAGGCAGAGCTGTGGAGCGCAGCGTGGGAATTTGGCTCCCGGAGTGTCCCTGTGGCTTCTCGGCCAGCAGGACAGGGCTTGTGAACGGCTCATGGAGAGCAACTCACGACAAGTGTCGCTGACTCTGGTGGCAGTGGCAGAGGTTTGGTTGTGTTGTAATGAGGTTTGGTTATGTTTTAATGAGGTTTGGTTATGCTGTAGTTAATGAAGTTCAGTTATGTTTTAATGAGGTTTGGTTATGTTTTAATGAGGTTTGGTTATGTTTTAATGAGGTTTGGTTATGTTTTAATGAGGTTTGGTTGTTTTAATGAGGTTTGGTTATGTTTTAATGAGGTTTGGTTGTGTTCTAATGAGGTTTGGGTATGTTTTAATGAGGTTTGGTTATGCTGTACTTGATGAGGTTTGGTTGTGTTTTAATGAGGTTTGGTTATATTCTAATGAGTTTTGGTTGTGTTTTAATGAGGTTTGGGTATGTTTTAATGAGGTTTGGTGATGCTGTAGTTGATGAGGTGCCAGCTCAGAATGGTTTGTGGCACTGCTCAGAGGCACAGGGTGTTCAGTGCTGGGGGAGCACTGTCCCCACTGTCCCTGAGAGTGTCCCCACTGTCCCTGAGTGTCCCAGAGAGTGTCCCCACTGTCCCTGAGTGTCCCTGAGAGTGTCCCTGCTGTCCCTGAGAGTGNTGGTTTCATTCCCCAGCTGGGATTTCCCACCTGCAGCAGCCGTGTCCCCCCGGGGCTCCGGGAGTGGCGGGGATGTTCCTCGGGGATGTCCTCGGGGATGTCCTCGGGGATGTTCCTCGGGGATGTCCTTGGGGATGTCCTTGGGGATGCTCCTCGGGGATGTCCTCGGGGATGTCTTTGGGATGTCCTCGGGGATGTCCTTGGGATGTCCTCGGGGATGTCCTTGGGGATGCTCCTCAGGGATGTCCTCGGGATGTCCTTGGGGATGTCCTCGGGGATGCTCCTCAGGGATGTTCCTCGGGGATGCTCCTCGGGGATGTCTTTGGGATGTCCTCGGGGATGTCCTCGGGGATGCTCCTCAGGGATCTCCTCGGGGATGCTCCTCGGGGATCTCCTCAGGGATGTCCTCGGGGATGTCCTCGGGGATGTCCTTGGGGATGTCCTCGGGGATGTCCTCAGGGATGTCCTCTGGGATGTCCTCGGGGATGTCCTCGGGGATGTTCCTCGGGGTTCCGGCGGCACTGAGGGCACTCCTGGGATTCTGCAGGAGCTCCGAGGCTCTGCAGGGAGCAGGGCTGGCGGTGACAGTGACAGTGACAGTGACAGTGACAGTGACAGTGACAGTGACAGGAGCTTCCCGAGGTGCCGTTAATTGCCCGTTAATTGCCCGTTAATTGCCGCCGTTCCTCAGTTCTCCGCAGCCCCTTCGGTGGTTTCTCTGAAGTGACTCTTTCTTCCCTTGATCTGCCTTTGACTTCCAATTAGAGCCTGGGATTTGCAGCAGAACAAAGCTCCAGGCTTTAAATCGCGGCTGTGCCTTGCTTTGAGTGTCCCCAGCTTCAAAGGCAGAGCTGTGGAGCGCAGCGTGGGAATTTGGCTCCCGGAGTGTCCCTGTGGCTTCTCGGCCAGCAGGACAGGGCTTGTGAACGGCTCATGGAGAGCAGCTCACGACAAGTGTCGCTGACTCTGGTGGCAGTGGCAGAGGTTTGGTTGTGTTGTAATGAGGTTTGGTTATGTTTTAATGAGGTTTGGTTATGCTGTACTTGATGAGGTTTGGGTATGTTTTAATGAGGTTTGGTTGTGTTTTAATGAGGTTTGGTTATGCTGTACTTGATGAGGTTTGGTTGTGTTTTAATGAGGTTTGGTTGTGTTTTAATGAGGTTTGGTTATGTTTTAATGAGGTTTGGTTGTATTTTAATGAGGTTTGGTTATGTTTTAATGAGGTTTGGTTATGTGTTAATGAGGTTTGGTTATGTTCTAATGAGGTTTGGCTATGTTTTAATGAGGTTTGGTTATGTTTTAATGAGGTTTGGTTGTGTTTTAATGAGGTTTGGGTATGTTTTAATGAGGTTTGGTGATGCTGTAGTTGATGAGGTGCCACTCAGAATGGTTTGTGGCACTGCTCAGAGGCACAGGGTGTTCAGTGCTGGGGGAGCACTGTCCCTGCTGTCCCTGAGAGTGTCCCCACTGTCCCTGAGTGTCCCTGAGAGTGTCCCCAGTGTCCCTGAGTGTCCCCTCTGTCCCCCGCAGGGCAGGAGCGCATCGGGAAGGACTCTCACTACGAGCAGGAGGGGAAGGTGCAGTTTGTGATCGATGCTGTGTACGCCATGGCCCACGCCCTGCACCACATGAACCGCGACCTGTGCTCCGACAGCGCCGGGCTGTGCCCCGAGATGGAGCACGCGGGGGGCAAGAGGCTGCTCAAGTACATCCGCAGTGTCAACTTCAACGGTGAGAGAGCCCTGTCCCCTGCTGACCCCCTGTCACCTGCTGACCCCCTGTCTGTCCCCTGCTGACCCCCTGTCTGTCCCCAGCTGTCCCCATCACAGAGCTGGCCCTTGGGAAGGGGATGTGTGTGTGTGGATCCTGTTCCCCAGTGCTCCCAGGGGTTTGTCCTGGGTTCCAGGTTGGGGCACTGGGAGCTTTGTGCAGCTGTGAGGGAAAGCATCGCCTGTTCTCCTCCTGCTGGCCCTGCCATGAGCTGGGACACCCTGCTGGCCCTGCCATGAGCTGGGACACCCTGCTGGCCCTGCCATGAGCTGGGACATCCTGCTGGCCCTGCCATGAACAGGGACACCCTGCTGGCCCTGCCATGAACAGGGACACCCTGCTGGCCCTGCCATGGTCTGGGACACCCTGCTGGCCCTGCCATGGTCTGGGACATCCTGCTGGCCCTGCCAAGAGCTGGGACACCCTGCTGGCCCTGCCATGGTCAGGGACACCCTGCTGGCCCTGCCATGAACAGGGACACCCTGCTGGCCCTGCCAAGAGCTGGGACACCCTGCTGGCCCTGCCATGAACAGGGACACCCTGCTGGCCCTCCTTGCAGAGGTGCTGCCATCAGTGCAGCCAGGGCTGGAGCAAGGCTGTGATGAGGAGAGGCTGGATCTGAGTGAGGAGCTCAGAGTGCATTTTGATCACTATTGCCTGGAGAACAAAAAACCCAAAATATGGAAAACATTCAACCTCAAGTGCTCATACAGTGAAGTTCTGAAAGTTTTGGAGTGCAGTTGTGTTTTTGGCAGTGAAAAGCTGGAGATGCTGTTCACAGGGGCCCCTTGGGTGCCCAAACTGCCATGAACGTGCTCTGAGTAATGAACACCTGGGCTGGTGACACCTGTGTGCACTGTCCCCCTCTTCATAATTCATTCCTCATCTTGCAGTGATTAAGAGATCGAAACTCTACAAATTCTGTCAGATTGTGTCTGGGCTTGAGGGCTTCCTGCAGGTGTCAAGTGCCCTGTGTCTGTGTGGGGAGAAGGCAGCTCCTCTGTCGGGAGCTGAATTAAATTGTCACAGCTCTGCATGAGCAAGGAGCTGCAGCCTGGAGACTGAGCTGCTCACCGGGCTCAGCAAAATCTGGGAAATCTTAATAGGAAGAAAATAAATCCTAAACGATCAAAAAGCAGCGAAATAACGACATGTTGTAATGACTGGAAGATCAAGGGTTATTTCTGAAACGCCTGTTTCCTCTCTGCGACGCCGTTTTCATACATCACTTTTTATTAATTCCATTATTTCATGAAAGGAGCGCTGCAGTGATGCGAAGCAGGGCTGACAGAGCCTGCGGACAGGTGCCACAGAAAGGGCTCCAGAGCCTCACCCAGCTCACAGGAGGTGCAGGAGGGCTGCCCTGCTGAGCAGAGCCCTGGCTGGAGCCCAATTACTGCAGCTCCAGAGCGGGGAGCGGGGCACTGCTGCCTGCCCCGGCCCCAGGCCAGCGGTGCTGCCCTGCCCACAGCTGCTGGCGTTCCCCATGCATGCCAGGCTTCTCCCTGTGTGCCCAGAGCGCTGCTGGAGCAGGGGCTGCTCCTGCCCGTGCTGTCCAGAGCCGCTCTGAGGTCCCTGCACGCTGCTGTGGGTCCCTGCAGTGCCCCACGGCGCTGGGCAGCCCTGCTGCAGCCGAGGGTCCCCGTCCCTCCCAGAGCCTGGATTTGGGGGCTGTCCCCATCCAGGTGGCCCCAGCTGTGCCCCCAGGGTTTGTCCCAGCGCTGGCTTTGGGGTGGCTGTGACCGTGGTGTCCATCCTCCCTGGACCTTCCCCTGTGCCCTGGGGCTGTGCCCTGGCCTGGGCAGTCCTCAGGTGTGTCTGTGGCATTTTGGGAGCCTCACCTGAGCTCCTGATGTTTCAGGTGTCCCTTTCTTGTCAGCTCTGACAAAGCTGAGCCTAACTCACCCTGAGCAGCCCCGAGAGTCCTGAGCAGCCAAACCCCATTTAGACTTTGCTGCCTTTCCTGGAGCCAAGGAGTTCCAGCCTTTGCTTCTGACTGACTCTGAGTGTTTCCACTCCAATGTATGCCGGCTACACGAATCTGTAATGACAATTAAATATCTGCCTGGTGCTCGCAAGGAGCTGGCAAGGAGAGATTTCAGTGGGAGATTTTCTGTGCCAGCCTTTGAACTGAATTTGTATCTGATCTCAGAGGATTGTAGGAGAGACAGGAAACAATTTACCAGGGCTAGAATGGAGACTATGCTAATTCACTCCTTCAAATCTTTTTTTCACCCCCTGGAATTCAATGAAGAATGGGAATCATGAAGAAAACGATAATCTTAAAGTTCAGTGCTACAACAGGAGAGATTTTTCATTGCTTTAGGGAAAAAAAGTTACACAGGAGGAGGAAGCTTTGAATATAGATATGCTGGAGGATTGTCATAATCTTCAATCTTGACACAATATTACTCTACCCTACCCAAGCCTATTTTAATATGTCTGGAAATAAATGTCACCCTGGAAGGTTGCTCCTGGAGCTGTGAGGAAACGAGGCTCTGCTTTGAGTTCTGCTCTTGGGAAGGTTCCCCTGCAGTGCCGTGCTGGATAAAGTGCTGAGAGCTCACCTGAGGGTGCTGAGAGCTCACCTGAGGGTGCTGAGAGCTCACCTGGGGGTGCTGAGCTCACCTGGGGGTGCTGAGAGCTCACCTGGGGGTACTGAGAGCTCACCTGAGGGGGCTGAGAGCTCACCTGAGGGGGCTGAGAGCTCACCTGGGGGTACTGAGAGCTCACCTGAGGGTGCTGAGCTCACCTGAGAGTGCTGAGAGCTCACCTGGGGGTACTGAGAGCTCACCTGGGGATGCTGAGAGCTCACCTGGGGGTGCTGAGAGCTCACCTGAGGGTGCTGAGCTCACGTGAGGGCTCGTGGTCAGGGCTGTGCCAGCATGGGAGTGCTGGAGCTCCTCCTGCCCTGCTCTCACTGAGCTGGTGCTTCAGTCCATGGTGAATAAAGTTAATTCAGGGTCCTCCATGGCACCCCCTGGCAGTGCCACAGAGCCTGGCTGAGGGACAGCACAGGGAATGCTCTTCCCAGAGAAGGGAGAGCACAGGGAATGCTCTTCCCAGAGCAGGGAGAGCACAGGGAATGCTCTTCCTGGAGCAGGGACAGCACAGGGAATGCTTTTCCCAGAGAAGGGAGAGCACAGGGAATGCTTTTCCTGGAGAAGGAAGAGCACAGGGAATGCTCTTCCCAGAGAAGGGAGAGACCAGGGAATGCTGTTCCCGGAGAAGGGAGAGACCAGGGAATGCTCTTCCCAAGCTCCCTGTGCTCTGTCCCGCCCGGCAGTGACGGGAATGGAACACATTGAGGAGGAGGAAGCTATTTCTGGCTGCTAGTCGAGACTCACTCGAGCCGGGCTGGCTTCTGCCAGCAGCATCTCTCAGCAGCAGATGGAACATTTTCCAGAGGGGGAAGCAGCATTTGGAGGCTCCATTCACAGGAGCAGTTTTCTCTGGAGAGCTCCCTGAGGACAGGGAGATGGGCGGGAGGGACAGGGAGGGAACAGGAGATATTCCTGCTGATATTCCTGGCTCGGGCAGAGGAGGGTGAGGTAAGGCTCGTCTGGGCTTGCTGTGTTTGTGTTAGGCAGAGATGAGCTGTGGGAAGGGCTGGGTGATGGCAGCATCCTGACATTGGGATGGCTGTGGGATGGCTGGCCGTGGCCTGCCACGTGTTTCCAGTGTGAAAGCTCTCCCCCCTGACCCAATAGAGGATTTGGCAGAGGTTTGGTGTTGGGTGGTTGGATTTTGTCTTGTTTCCTTCCCCCAGGCAGTGCTGGCACTCCAGTGATGTTCAACAAGAACGGGGACGCCCCGGGGCGCTACGACATCTTCCAGTACCACAGCAGCAACACCAGCACGCCCGGCTACCGCCTCGTGGGCCAGTGGACAGACGACCTGCAGCTCAACGTGAGTCCCTCCCTGCTCCTTCCGCTGCTGGGGGCACTCAGAACCTTAGCAGGGACCTTTGCTGCTTCCCCACAGCTCCACAGGGGGGTTTGCTCATTATCCCCCTCTCCCCTGTCCTGCCACCTCCTCCTGTGCCCCGAGAGCCACAGCTCCTCACACCAACACAGGTGATCGTGCAGATTTTATTGCTTCTAGTCTGCAGTCCCCAGCTTGGGAAATGAAGCTGTGATTTGTTGGAGTTTGAAGCCACTGGGCTTTCATTTGCAGATGATTTTCAGTTTTTCTTGTCTTTGGAAAGCTGGAATGAAATGTTTTTGGGGTGAGTCACTTTTCCGGTGGTGGATTTTAATCTGTGTGGATGAGGTGGCCTTTCAGGGATGGTGCCTGAAGGAAAACAGGCACAGAGGAGCAGCTGCTCAAATACACTTTGGTGTTTCCCAGAAAGCAGCCCAGGACTGGCGGGTGGGAAAGCTGGAGAGCATGTCAGCATCAGTCCCCGTGCCTGGGCTGTCACCTCGAGGTCCTGGGCTGTCACCTCAAGGTCCTGGGCTGTCACCTCGAGGGGTGCAGGATCCCCTCAGCCTCAGCCCCAGGTCCTGGGCAGCAGGGCCAGCTCTGCCTCGTGGCTGGGGAGGGTTACAAACACCCACAGACATTTTCCAGCTCAGCTGGGCCCTTCAGCCGCACCCCAAGGTGTGGGGCTTGCACTGGATGCCCTTGTCAAGGTCCCTTCCACCCATGCTGCTCCATGATTCCATGGCTCCTGAGGGCAGTGGCTCTCCCCTCTCTCCCAGGAACATTGGGAATTCCTGGTGGGTTGTGGCTGCTTCCCTGCCCCTGCTGCCAGGTGTCCTGTGGGAGCAGGGACAGGGAATGGGCTGTGTGACACGGCCCTGCCCTGACACCACCCACAGGTGGCCAGGACACACTGGGGTGGCACAGGAGTGGCACAGGGGGTGGCACAGGAGATAACCCAGGGGGTGACTCAGGGCTGGCACAGGGGGTGGCACAGGGGGTGGCACAGGGGGTGGCACAGGAGATAACCCAGGGGGTGACTCAGGGGGTGGCACAGGGGGTGACCCAAGGGTGACATGGGGTGTGAGTGAGGTGTAACCCAGGGGTGCTCCCAGCCCAGGGCTCTCTCTGGGCCGGTGTCACTCGCTGCACAGGGCTGGCCCTGTGGCCAGGAATGTCCCCTGTGGGGACACCTGAGCTCCTCCTGGGACACCAGGCACAAGCTGCCCACAGGGCTCATCCCCTGGGCTGGAACCAAGGGCCCAGAACTTTCTGTTTTCAATGTTCCCATGGCTTTTGTTAAATCAGGTAAATGATGTGAGTCACTGAGGAGCTGCTCTTGGAGACTATTCACAAATGATATTTTACTCTCCTCGAATTTTGGCTCATTTTTATTTTCTGTGTTTGATTTGCTCTTTCGGGGTTTTTCAACTTCGGACGTTCTATATAAGGAAACCTATATTAACTTGCAACTTACAGTTCTTTTAGCAAAAAATATTAATATTTTATTAAGCATATCCTTCTTTATGTAAACTGCACATCCGGATTCATTAAAATTTAAAGCTAAATTAATGGGACTTGATTTGTATTCCTGTTGTTGTGTTAAATGTTTCCATATAAAGACCTCTTTCATCACCCTCGTAGCCTCATGGCCACAGGGTCACATCAGCAGCTGAGATTTTCTCACTAACTTCCCTTCTAATCACTGAAGTGTCCTAGTTTCTCACACAAATATATATATAAGATAGTCCCTTTAGTATTATTGGATTATTTCTTACAATAATAAAGACAATTGTGGAGTTTAGAGAAGTCGAGGATTCCTGGAAATAACCAAAATAAATACTATTAAATACATCCCAGGGAAAACCACCAGAGGATGCGATTTGTCTTCAGTAATTATTGTGGCAATAACTCTTCAGGGGATGTTTGCCCAGTTCTTATTTCTTAAAGAGAGCACAAGAGGGGAAAGCAAAGGGTGTTTGGGCTGGTTTGAATTTGGCAGCTGCTGCAGTGGTGCTTTGTTTCCCAAGAGTTCTGTCACTGGGGGCAGGCTCGGGCAGTTCTGAATTTCCCTGGGAATGGGAAATTTGTTCACACAGCCCTAAGGTAAGGACACCCCAGACCCCAGAGGCAGGAGGGAATTACCTGCAGGAGACCAGCTAGGTGAGTCAATGTTTTCCTCTTCCTCATCATCCTCATTCCCAGAAAAAGCAGAAATGTTTTGCTCTTGGGTTCCTCTGGCCCGGCTGCTGCTGTTCAGTCTCTTGTGGGTGCCTAAAACAAAGTTCATCTTCCCATCCATGGTGCCTTTTGGGGTATGGTGGGCACAGGCTGGATTAATCTGGAGGGCTGAACCAGATTTTTTCACGTTAGAGTGCAGAATAACTTCTGTTGCAGTTTTTTCTCTCTTGCTCATGTGAGCAGACAGACTGAGGGCAGCTCTAACTTGGAACTCTTCAAATCTGTTCTCTTATTGCTGGTCTAGGTTGGCTTTTTGAATTACCTGGGACTGTGTATCTCTGGTCACGTAACAAAATACTTGATGACTTTTCACTGCAGCAAACTTGGGACATGACAATTTACGTGAGGGCAGTGCAATCACCCCGTTTTCCTTTTCCTGCATGGCAGCAGTCAGCCGAGCACAGCTTTGCCCAGCACGGTTTAGCTGCAGTTCTGGCTGCATTTCAGGTGGCTGTGCAAGGATAAATTGAGCAGATGTCTGATTTTGAAGGGCTTGGCCAGTAGTCCATGAAAAGCCATTGCAGTGCTGTCCCTGCAGCAGGCTGTGATGCTGAGGTGCCACCCCTGTCCCTGCTGAGGACTCTGCCAGGCGCTGCCAGCCCTCCTCACCCCGGCATTTTTGGGATGCAGGGTTGGTACTTCACAGCTCCTGCTGTCTGACATGCTCTGCCCTGGCTTTAGGGTCACAAACTCGGCCCCCAAAGCCTGGAAAGGCAGAGACAGCCGAGGCAGTGGTGGGAACCCTGGGCACAGCAGAGCTGCCCTCTGAGCCAGGAGCGGGGCTCTGGAGGGTCACCCTGTGCCCCAGGGCAGCTCCAGCACCAGCAGAACCCTGGGGCTGCCTCTGACGTGCTCCAAAAGGCAGGGGTGCTGCAGGTGGAGAGGAGCCAGCGTGCCCTGGTGGGATGAGGAGTGCTGGGGACCAGCTGGCTTTGGGAGCTCCCTCTTCCAGTGGGGAATTTCAGTTTGTTCTCAGCTGGGGTTTTCAATTTGCATCTAAGGCTCGTGTGTTCAAGCAGCAGGAAATGGTGAGGATGGCTGAAGGCAGCGAGGCCAGGAGACAGGTCCTGCCTGTGTGCCTCGTGTGTCCTGTGGGTCTGAGCAGGAACTGAGCCCTGTGTGGGTCTCACAGCAGGAACTGACCCCTCTGTGTGGGTCTCACAGCAGGAACTGAGCCCCTGGAGGTGTCCCTGCTGCAGGCTGGTGACACTGCCCGAGCAGCTCCCATACCCAGCTGCCTCCTAAAAATGCAGCTTCTCTTGTTTGGAGGTGCCTGGCACAAACACAAACACAAAGACATCTCTCCTGGAGGAGCTGCTGTGCCTGAAGGAGGAGGAAATGGATCGCTCCTAGAGGATGCACAGGCTCTCCTGGGAAATTTGTGATATTGCTTCTCTTTCTCCAGGTACAGTTAACTCAGCAGGTCCCAGGTTTATTGTTTTCCCATCCCATTCCCTGTGCAAGTATCCCAGAACTGTCAAAAGCAACAAGTAAAGGAAACAATCCCTGTGGAATGGTTGAACCTGCCTTTTCCAGGTGTTGGCCCCGTGCTGAGGCTGGAGGGAGCAGTCTGGGCTCCTGCCCCTGGACACCAGCTGCTCCTGGGCTGGCTGGCAGTGAGCTCTGGGGTGCTGCCACCCTGCCTGGTGGGCTGGGCACCACGAGCAGCTCTCCCTGGGGAAGGGCTCCTGTCCCTGCCCTGCTCCCCACCCAGCTCAGCCATCCCCCCACAGCTCCCACACGGGCAGGACGATGCCCTCGTCCTTCACCCTCCGCTTGCAGCAGGGAGATGCTTCCATGAGACCTGGTTATTTGCCACTGGGGAGGGAGATCCTCCTGGAGCAAGCTGATGTGGGGTTGTTTTTCAGTCTGATTGTCTAATTCATGCTGTAATAAGGCCATTAGTGTCTGCACAGGGTGCACGGTGTCGTGTTTTAATTGCACCGGTGTCTGTGCCGTGTCAGGGGCTCTGTTCCAGCCCTGGCTCACAGCGGTGCCGCTGGGCTCTGGGGCTGTGCAGCACGTGAATCCTCAGCTGGGGATGGAAAACACCGTGTCCTGTCCCTTCTTATACCGTGTCCTGTCCCTTCTGACACCGTGTCCTGTCCCTTCTGACACCGTGTCCTGTCCCTTCTTACACCGTGTGTGTCCTGTCCCTTCCTACACCGTGTCCTGTCCCTTCCTACACCGTGTCCTGTCCCTTCTTACACCGTGTCCTGTCCCTTCTGACACCGTGTGTGTCCTGTCCCTTCCTACACTGTGTCCTGTCCCTTCTTACACCGTGTCCTGTCCCTTCTTACACCGTGTCCTGTCCCTTCCTACACCGTGCAGAGCTCAGGCAGCTCGTGTGTGCCTCCCGCAGCATCGGGCAGGGCTGGCTGCGAGCTCCAGATAAAACCAAACCACTCCTCTAATTCATTTGTTTGCAAACAGAAACAAATCCATCCCAGGGATGCACAGTGCATGCAGGGATAGAGGAGATCTGTGTGGTTCTCTGGGTGTGCAGATGGCTCCGTGCTGTGGAGCAGAGCGGGGTTTGGGACAGGGCTGCTGGGGTGGCTGCCAATGCCTCAGTATTGATAATTATCAATATTGCTAATTATCAGTGTGGTTCCATGGATCCAGCTCCCCTGTCGACCCCAGCTGGTGCTGTACAGCCCCAGGGACGTGGTGAGGGCTCCTGAAGGATTCCCTGCTCCCTGGGCAAGGAGCTGGGAGCTCTGTTTGCCCTGGGTAGCCGAGTC